TGCCCAGCCTTCAGGCTGCTTTCTTATACAACCCAGGACCACCTGCCCAAGGGTGGCACCAACTACAGTGGGCTTGGCCCTATCACATCATTCAACAATCAAGAAAATTCCCCTCACAGACATGCCCAGACATCAATCCAATAGAGGAAATTCCCCAATTGAAGTTCCCCCTTCCCAGGTATGTCAAGTTGACAACCAAAACCATCCAGCACAGCACCTTTTCAGAGAACTGAATGAATAACTAGCTGCTGAGACGCTTTCTTATGGCAGCTTGAGTAGGAAGAGAGGTAAGAAAAGGAAGAACACAGAGAAAGCTCCACTCTCAAGAGTGGGTTCAGTGACAAGGATATAGCTTGGGATTCAGGATGGAAGCCACGCTGGACCTGGCAGTATACCCAGAGTTTGCACAGACTCTGGTAGACCCCTCAGGCTAGGCTCAACCACTGTATACACCAGTTAAAAAACTGAGTATTAATAAAAAGGGATTTAATCAATGCATACATTAGGAAGAAGAAGAGATAAAGGGACCAGTAACCCCAGGTTAATTTTGGGGTGCTGACATGAGCTTTAGGTTTAACCAGTGGAAGAACTGGAGCAAGGAGCACAGTCTGTGTAATTAAGCAGCCCTGGTCCAGGTGTGATCTGGCTGGTCTCTCTCTTAGTTATGGTTTTGCAAGGTGGTCCCAAGAAGCCTGTATTGCTTGAGGAAGCAAACAGGTTCCCATGAGATGATTACCCTTCTTTCAGGGTGCTGGAGTAATTGCCTGTTTTGGGGGGTGGTCTGTCCTTCCAGGCTTTGCTGTTCCTGTAGTCCAAGGGCACTGCAGGTTTAGGACAACTGGTGCTGCCTTTAGGGGCCTGGAGTAGTCATTGTGAAGACTGAGGGTGAGGTGCCTTCATAATTCTTATATATATATATAGGTATTACATTTACTTATCTGTGAGAGTGTATGAGTGAGTGTGTGTGCCATGTTGCACTTGAGATCAGAGGACAACCTTCAGAGTTGGTTCTTTCCTTCCACCATAAGGGTCCCAGGGTTCGAACTCATGTCCTCAAGGTTAGTGGTAAGTGCCTTTACCCACTGAGCCATCCTAAAAGCCCCACCTCTTATCTTTATGCCTTCAGCCTTGATAGTGGTTAACATAGTGTATATACCTACATACAGAGGTAAGCAGGTGACCCAAAGTAAAGAACACTGAAGGCAGAGATGCCGCAATCCATCCAGTATTTAGCTACATTTTTTTTCCTTTATCCTTTTTTTTTTTTAAAGACAATTCTTGTACATCACAGGGTGTCCTCAAACTCTGTGATACCACACATGGTTTTATGTGATCCTGGGATACAAACCTAGTGCTTCAAAAATGCTAAATAAGCATTCTACCATCTGAACTGTGTCTCTGGTGTTCAGCTGCCTCTTACACTGAAGTGGGGAGTCAATGCTTTTTAGCACAAGCAGTTTGTAAGTACCTGTTTCAGCAGGAGGATGTTCTCGAGATGGGGGGGGTGCGTGTGTGTGTATTCGTGTGGGGGTCAGAGACAACTTGCAGGAATTACTTTACTCTTCCCTCCCACATAGGTCCCAGGGACCAAACTCGGAACATCGGGCTTGACAGCAAGCACCTTTACCTGTTGAACTGTCTCTCTTGCCCCCTTCACGGGCTTTTGCTCCCTATACATTAGAAAAAACAGAGCTGGGGTGGGGGGAGGCTGGAGAGATGGCTCAGTGGTTAAGAACACTGACTGCTCTTGCAGAGGACCTGGGTTCAATTCCCAGCACCCACATGGCGACTATGAACCGTCCTTAGCTCCAGTTTCAGGGGAATTCGAAGCTCTCTTCTGCGGCATTGCATGGCATGGGTGCACTCACATACATGCAGGCAATACACTCATACACATAAAATAATAAAAATATAAAAAAAGAAAAAGAAAAGACAGAGCTGGGGATGGAGAGATGGTTCAGCAGTTAAGAGCACTTGCTCCTCTTGTAGAGAACCTGGGTTTGATTCCCAGCACCCATATGGTGGCTAACAACTGTCTGTAACTCCAATTCCAGGGGATCCAACGCTCCCTTCTGACCTCCTCCAGCATTGCGTGACACAGGTATACTTGCATGCATGCTGGCAGTATACTCAAAAATTATTTTTTAAAAAGACAGAGCTGGATGGTCCTCTCATTTCTAAAAATGCCAGTTGGGGTTTGCTGTTGTGACCTGGCTAGGCCTGAACACAGCAAATACAGTATACCAGACCCATTTGCAATCCTGGGATCTGGACATGAGGTTCTCCTAGGTCTTCACACAGTTCTGACAGAAATCATTCACTCTTCCTGTTTTACCCTCAGTTTAGAGTTGCTGGGTCAAATACAGGCTGCCCAGTTACAGTCTCTTTGGTCAAAAATCAAAGACTCTCTGAAAATAAAAGTGTAAGCCAGGCATGGTGGCTCACGCCTTTAATCCCAGCACTCAGGAGGCAGAGGCAGGCAGATCTCTGTGAGTTCAAGGCCAACCTGGTCTACACAGTGAGTTCCAGGACAGCTGGGGCTACAGGGAGACCCTGTCTCAAAAAGACCAAAAAAAAAGTGTATTTTATTATGCCAGGCATGATGGCAAATACCAACACTTTTGGGCACATGCAGGAGAACTGCTACATGTTGAAGGTCAGCCTGTTCCATACAGCAAGTTCCAGGCTCTACCTCAAAAAACAGGAGGGGAGGGCTGCACACGTGTGAGGAGGACCCAAGTTCAGATCCCCAGCATACATGTGTAAAGCTGGGCTTGTACATATGTAATCCCAGCATTGGGGAGGCAGAGACAGGTGGACCTTGTCTCAAAAAATGTAGAGAGCAATGGAGATAGACACCTGCTATCAGTCTCCAATCTCTTCAACATGCACACACACACACACACACACACACACACACACACTCCACAGCTGAAATGCAAATGAAACTAGTATCCTATATATTTATTACTAATTCTGTAAACTCTTCCTCAGTTGAATTTTAGAAGGGGTACTTCAGAAGTGTTTGTAAAGCTTGATCTTGAGGCTTTTTGGAAGTGGCATCAATAAAACAACAATATTTGGCAATCCAGGAGATTAACTCTAGTTATCTTTTAATAACTTGATGGAAATATAAATATTTAAAACTGTACAGTTCAGTAACTTTTTAGAATATTTATAGGGTTGTGCAACCATCGCCAAAATCAATTTTTAAAACATTTTCTTCACCTCAAAAAGAAACTAGGATTTCCCTCCTTCCCTGGTATTCCTCAATCCAGCACTTGGTAACCACTTGTGGACTCCATTTCTTTAGATGTGCCTATTCTGAACATTTCCTTATGAGTCAAATCGTACACCACGTGGCCTTTTGTATCTGGCTGAAATCATTTAGTTCAAGGTTTTTTGATAGTAGTCTCTGTCCCTCCCCCTGTCCTCTCTCCCCTCTCCTCTCTCTTTCCTCTCTCCTCCCTTCTCTTTTGTTGAGACAGTTTGACTAGCAATCTTCTTGCCATAGTCTTCTAAGTACTTAGATAATAAAATATTTGTTAACATGCTGAGCTTTATGGGTTTATTTTATACATATGTTTGATTGCATGTATGTAAGTGCACCACATGCATGCAAGGCCAGAAGAGGCTGTTGCATCTCCTGGAACTGGAGTTGTTAGCCACCATGTGGGTGCTGGGAATCAAACCCCCGCCTCTTTGTAAGAGTAGCCAGTTTTCTTAATCTGAGTCATCTCACCAGCTCCTTTATGCTCTTTTTAATAGCCTGATAATATTCCTTTGTGTGTATGGGGCCACAATTGGTCTCTTCATTCACCTTCTGATAAGACATTTGGGATGTTTAAGCTTTTTTGTTTTGTCTTTGTTTTTGTTTGTTTGTTTTTGAGACAGGGTCTCGCTATGTAGCGCCAGCTGACTTGTATGGTCACTATGTAGACCAGGCTGGCTGGAACTCAGGCATCCACCTCTGCCACCCCAGTGCTGGGACTAAAGGCGTGCCACCATGCTCAGCTGGATGCTTTCACCTTTTTGGGGGGGGGGTCTTTTTGAGACAGGGTCTCTCTGTAGCCCCAGCTTTCCTAGAACTTACTATGTAGACCAGACTGGCCTTGAACTCACAGAGATCCGCCTGCCTCTGCTTCCCAAGTACTGGGATTAAAGGCATGCGCCACCATGCCCGGCTTCCTTTCACTTTTTAACTGCTATGTATCTTGCTATTTAGGAGAGGACATTTGTGTACAAGTCTGAGTAGTTGCGTGGCTTCATGTCTTTTGATGATATACACAGAAGTGATTGAATAAAAAACTAACTCGCATGTGTAATGTTCTGAGGAACTGTCAAACTGCTTCCTAAAGCAGCTGCTCCATTTTACGTTTTATGGGGGCGGAATCAGGCCTTCATTTAGTGCTTGCCCCAGAAGATTGGGGCTTCGCGTTCTCCACCTCCGCTCAGCCTCCGCAGTGTCGCGAACCCCCTCCCTCCTCCGCAAGGTGCCCCCATCCGCCTCCTGCAACACTCCAGAGACCAAAACATTATTAAGACTCAGCACTGTGGGAAACGTAGTTTCGATTCAGGCCGGGCCGCCTCCTAGGCGCTTGTAGGCACAAGACCACCGCCAGGTCGGCAGAGGCTCTGTGGATGGTGTAGTTCTCTTTCCAGTCAGCCGCGCAGACGACTGCCCGAAGAAAAACTACAACTCCCAGAGTGCCGCTATGCTACGGCGGCCGAAGGGGCCAAGCGGTGAGCGGCGCCCCGCCCCCTTCGGGCGGGCGGTTTGCCAGCGCCTCTGTAAACACGCCCGGATCCTGTCATGGAGCGGGCGGAGGAGGCGGTGGCTGCGCTGGGAGCCGCCTGGAGCGGCCTCCAGGGTCCGCTCTGCCATTCCTGAGCTGGTCCGGGTGACCGTGGCTTCGGGGAAGCGCACTGTTAGGCGAAGGAGACAGTCAGAGCCATTTCCCCTTCTGCCCGGGGGCGGGGGCCGGGCCGGGCCGGCTGAGGCGGGGGAGGGCCGGGAGGGCGCCGGGCTGGACCGGCCTGTCTGCGGAGATGGATGACAGTAAGGTAAGTCCTGGGCTGTCGCCGCCGCCGCCTGCGTGTCCCCGGGGCAGTTCGCCCCGCCGCCCAGCTGCGGCTCGCAAGTCCACGCCAGCACCCAACACCTGCCTTCGCCACGCGTGCCCCGTGCACCCCGCCGGTACTTGGGGAGCGCCCGGCTGCAGTTTCCGAGCGCGGGCCCGCGCCTTGGCAGACTTTTCACTCTGGGTAACCGTGTTTGCCAGGGTTTCCAAGAAGTGCAAACCCTCGTCTTTAACCTGCTTGTCGAGATAAGTGAAGAAACTACCGTGTGTGTTTTTTCTTTTTGCACTTTCTTGCCCCCTTCCAGCCGGCTTCCAATTTGGAGAGCTTAATTAGTGCATCCTGAACCAGACCTAATCACCCTTGATGTGGCTCTAGCTTGTTCAATGCCCCATTCATATCATCAGTTCACTCCGCCTCTGAGCTTTTTCCTGTGGTTGGTTGGAACCCTGCTCAGCTCCTGTTGCTCTTTGGCCAGAGCTTTCCAAGTCTTCTAAAAGAAAAAAATAGTGATTCTTTTTCCTTTTTAATCTACCTTAATATCCCATCACCACTTTTTGTATCTAGTGACCTTCACTTTATGACTGTAAAATAATAGTGTTCATTATCAGCTAATTCAGACAAATTTGTGGGTCTGCCTTCCCATATTACTATTGTTAATATTTCATGAAAAAAGGGACAGAGAGTTTCTTGTTAATATTTTATGATGTCTGGGAGTTGGGCCTTTTATTTGAGGAATCAAACTTCAAGTTTGGTTTAGGTTTTTTTTTGGAGATGGAGTCTCATGTAGCCCAGGCTGACCTCCACCTCGGTAGCAGAGGATGCTACTGGATGACCTTGAACGCCTGATCCCGTTGCCGCTTTTATCTCCCAAATGCTGGGATTACAGGTGGGCACCTCATGCCAGGCATAAATTTTGTCAGAATTTAAGTAGAAGTCATTGCTTCTCTGTTTCAGAGTCCGATTTTCCACAGACTGGTATAGTCTTAGGATAGACTTTTTTTTCCTTCATCTAACCAAAACAATTTTGCTGCTCTGGTGTTTTGTTTGTTTTGACAGGGTCTCCCTAGTAGTCCCAGCCTGCCTGGAAATCCCTATGAACCAGGCTGGGCTCCCGTGTGTCCTCCAGGAAGAAATGCATGTTTTTATGAAAGCCTCTCTTTGATCCGTTGTCTTCAGTTACAAAGAAAATAGAAATATGTTCTTTCCAGAAGCTTGATCACAGAAGGTTCTTATTTTTGGCTGTTTATTGAATGAATTAATTGAAATGTTTTCAATCAGATGTGTTCTTGGCAGTCTGTAGGCTGCTGAAAGACCTTTATACAGTATTGCCCCCTCTCACAGTATAGGGCATCAAGTTCAGGGACTCACTGAGGGAGTGGGGCAGCTACTGGACACGGTGCTGATAAGTGTCACTGTTTCCTTCCTTTCTACTTTGTACTGCACACTATTAGGTAGAAATGAGGCTTCGTACAATCTGCTTACTTCTTGCATACCCAGCAAAGGGCTCTGTCCTTGGTAGTTCAAAGTAGGTGTTGGTTCTTGTAAGAAAATTTAACTTTGCCCTCCCACCAGAATTACTTTTGGCCCCTGAAATTCCTGTCATTGCCCTGTAGCCATCCTCTGCTACACTGGAGCTGCTCTCCTAGGCATTGTCACAGCCCAGCCGTTCGCTTATGTTCCTGGTCTCCTCTGTCTTCAGGATGGAAAAGCTGGCACATCTGAATAAGTCTCAGACGTTCAATGTTAGTGTGCGTGCTTTCCTTTCCCCATGACCTACCCACTTGAACTTGAGTACCTCCACAGGTGGTTTAGAAACCAAAGCCAGGCATGGTGGCACATGCCTGTAATCCCAGCTTTTAGGAGGTAGAAGCAGGAAGATCAGGAGTTAAAGGCCATCCTCAGCTATACCTAGAGTTCAAGGTCTGCCCTCCTCAAAACAAAAACAAAAAAGCAGAAACTAGGTGTAATATAAATGTAAACAATCTTATTCAGGATGTTTTGCTTTTTAAGGACCTCAGGGAAGTTTGTTTCTTTGTTCATTAATTTCTGTCATTGTCTGACTTGTACTAGGTACTGTGGTAGGCGATCGAGATAGGAAAATGAATAAGGGCTTGTAGCTGTTCCCAGGAAGCATTCATTTCTGAGACTGAGGGAGATAATGAAAAAGGGGGTTTCATTAGTGAGGTAAGGAATGAGGGTACTAGCCAGGAGTGGTGGTGCACACCTGTGATTCCAGAACTCAGGCAGTAAAAGCAGAATTAGAAGTCCAGGTCTCCAGACATCTTTAATCTCAGGCAAAGGAAGGTGGATCTCTAAGTTTGAGGCCAGCCTGGTCTACAAAACAAGTTCCAGACCATCCAGGGCTACATAGTGAGACCCTGCCTCAAAGTAAATAAATAATTAAATAATTTTTAAAAGAAGTTCAAGGTTATCCTCAGCTGTAATACGTAGTGAGCTCAAGGCCAGACTCGGATACATGAAGTCCTGTCTCAGAAAGGAAAAATAGTACACACCCACACCTGCAGGAGCAGTTTCAGTAGATATGGCAGAAGTCAAAATGTGTTCACTGTGGAAGAAATGGGTGGGAAAGAAGCACAGACAGCAAGTAGAGACCATCTTACCAAGTTGGGCATTGCCAGCATCCATCCAGTATTAGTGTGAAGTTACTACTTAGATCCAGGGCAAAACAGAATAGCTGTGTGTTTGCAGGGGTAGGGTTCAGGTCAAAAGTTGGTGGTGGTGGAGGGGGTGATATAGGAGTTAACTCTCAGTTCAGAGATGCCCACTTTCTCTCCTGACTGAAGAAGCTGGCCAGAAAGGTTAGCTGCAGGAGGACATGATTCCATACTCACTGTCTGAAGCGCTGGTAAAAAGTCCTAAGCCACAGTTGTGAGGAAAGTTCTTCTGAAGCCCTAGCACCCAAAGATGACCCTGTTTGCCTTGTCTTGTCTTTAAGGTTAAAGAGCAGTAACTAGGCACATGGCCTTTTCCTTTGACTAGCCAGCAGTACCTCTCTGCTGGATTTCTAAGAGAAAGGTGAAACAAGTCCTTTTTTAGTTGAGGCTGCTGGCACCACTTGCTGTAAACACAGTGGCTTCCTGAACAGCCTGAATTTTTTTATGAGTTGCCTTAAGAACAAGAGCATTTTAACCAGGGATGATTCATACCTGCAGTTCTAGCACGTGGGAGGCTGAGGCAGGAGGAATTGCTATGAGTTCAAGGCTAGCCTGGGTTACATAATCCAGGTCAGCCTGCAGTCTGGGCTTTTTTTTTTTTAAAGACCTAGAACATTAGTATGTAAATAAATGCATAAAGAATGGTAAAATAGAGTATTATAGTATTTGGATCAAAGTGGCTGTTCAATAAAGTAATGAATTCCCCTCTTTACCTGATAAAGGTGAGGATGACCCTTGTGAAGTGATATGACATGAGCTAACACGGGGAGCACCTCATCAAGGCTGAGGTTATAACCCTGATTTAACCCAGGATTTAAACGTTTCATTTTTTCCAAAAAATATGTAGGTAAAGTGCTTCTAAGAGTCTTTGAAATAGGGTATAAAGTCATGTCCTCTTGCTGAAGAAGTTAAAGCCATTGTATGTGAAACCCCATCCATAATACCCTTGGGCCTTGCAGACTGGGTTCTGTCTTTTTTTTTTTTTTTTTTTTTTTTTTTTTTTTTTTTTGTCTTTTTGAGACAGGGTCTCCCTGTAGCCCGAGCTGTCCTGGCACTCACTATGTAGACCAGGCTGGCCTCGAACTCACAGAGATCTGCCTGCTTCTGCCTCCCAAGTGCTGGGATTAAAGGCATGTGCCACCACACCCGGCTTGGGGTCTGTCTTTTTAAGAGTGAAGTTTAGAATTATCAGGAACTCTCCCCTCAGCTGAATCATAGCTTTTTAAAATCCATAGTTAGAACACATGATCCTTCCATAATATTCTTTCTCATTGTAAGTTTCTGTGTCTCTGAGCTGTTCTCCCCACGTACACCCAACCCCTGGGTACTGGGGATGAGTGCCTTGTGCATGCTTTGCAGGTGCTCTACTGCTGAGCTTTCCCCTCAGCCCACGTACCTTCTTTTTTTTCCCTCTATAGTTGAGGGTGAGTTTGAACTCCTGATCCTTCTACCTCCACCTCCTGGGTGCTGCGATGACAGGCATCACACCAGCTTCCGTGCACCATCTTGATTCTCACCTTTCTACTATATTTTGAAGTTTATTACATTTGTGCATATGTGCTTGAAAGTGAGGAGGGTGTGGGTGTGCTCATGGCAGGGCACAGGTGTGGATGTAGAGGACAACTTGGGGGAGTTCTCTCCTTCCACCGTGTGGTTTCCAGGGATTGAAGTAGGGTCTTCAGGCTTGGCAGCAAGACCCCTTAATCACTGAGCCATGTTGCCCCACACCATGTTTTTTTTTTAAATAGCACCTTTATTGAAAGACAATCCATATATCATAAATTCACCCTCTTAGTATCTATAACGCCGTGCTTTTTAGCATTTTCACAGGGTTGTGTGATAATCATCTAATTCCATAAGATTTCTATCTTACAAACAAACTAGAACATCCATATAGTATAATAGTGTTCAGTAATGAAGAGAAGCTTAGTCTACAAAAGGCCATGAAGGAGCCTTAAATGTAAATAAGAAGCCAGTTTGAAAAGGCTGCATACTGTATGATTCTGTTTGACAGTCTGGAAAAGGCAAGACTATAGAGAGTGACTAGATCAGTGTTGCCAGGGTTCAGAGGAGAGAGGACTAAGTGGAGCTGTGAAGACTCTACAGTGGCCATGGTGACCATGTGCTTTTGTCAGAACCCAGAGAAGTAGACCATAGGTGAACCCTGAAGTGCAGCCTCCAGTTGTTAGCGAGCCAGCATTCCTTCATCAAGCTTTAACCGAGATACTGGCCTGTAGCATGATGTTAATAATGCTTTTGCCACCCTTTAATTGGGTTGTCTTTTTGTTACTGATTTCTAAGAGTTCT